CATCTCGCCCCAGTTGAATATCATGAACGATAGATTCAGTTGAGTTAAAATCAGATTGATTTGTGTATTTCATGAATACAATTTGGGTTCAAGTAGAACGTAAGGTTGACGGAAACCCGGGGACTGCGCCTACCCGTTGAGCCCCAAGAAGGGCAAAACCGGTCATGGGCTGTTGAATGGATTTCAGCAACGTTGTTAGCAGCGTTCCCTCAAGAACTCATCAGTGTTGTGAAAACCGTGATTCATCATCCTCATTGTTCTGAGCTCCAGTATGTCATTCACTCCTGTGACTTGGCACTTTCCCACAAACTAGTCCTGTTTTTTTCACAGGTCAAACAGCCTTCTGCAAACAGTTGTGATACGTTTATCTACGGACAGAGTCATATCGCTGTTACTCGACTTGGTGTACCCTCTGTGATACCATCTGACACGCAGGTGAGTTGACGATATTCCTTTTGCGTTTCGCTCTCTTGACGCTACTGTGAATTGAATAAATAAATAAACCTTTCAGCTATAAAACCTTTTCGGTGCCTAGCTGGCATACCAACCAAATGGAAAACGAGGACTGACTGGAGCAGTCGAGACAAAGGGCTGGGTTCGAACCACTGACCCTCTGGTGCCAGTAGGTTCCACCTTACTCACTGAGCTATCTAGACGTCACCATGTGGTCAATGAGACCTGCAAAATTCAAGTTCGCGATCCTTATCCAATAACGTTTTTGTGCAACCCCTTGTGATCGCCAATACAATCTTCCCGTTATGGATAGAGAGAGAGATTACTTTTCAGCTCGGTACATGGCCCAGTTTCTGAGGCAGGTTTTGGCCAAAAGCACCCTGAAGGAATGCCTTTTGCTTCAGTTTGTGCAAATGTTATTGATTCCGGGTTATAGAAGCTTTCCCTTGCGTACATCAGTGCGATAAATTTGTCCTATATACAGTCGTGTATGTGGCATGGTGATGACGTGCCGGGGTAAGGTCAGCCGCCAACCACACTCCACATCCTAGGCGTTCTTCATTTGAGCCCGTCTAACGTGACTCGAATGAACCAGTTTCACTAAGGACTGGGTTGCAAATGCTCGAAAACCGGAAGATGCCGCGTGAATTGTTCTCACTATTGTACGGGCGCTGATGCTCCGTCGTCGCCGGCAAATGGTGCATCCAGCTACTCTATTAATGTACTGTGGGTGTACTTTTAAGATGACACACAGTACAGACAATGCGTATTTGTAGTAAAGCAATTCCATGTGCAATACTGTGTACGATGCTTTCAAAACGCATGCGATAGTATAGCTTCAACTTCAGCTCCACTAATGACCTCTGGATCCACCTGAAACTACTGGGTAGAACTGATGGTGATTTAGCGAAAAGACGAGACGTTTGGTGGATATTTTCCGATATTTCTTTTCAGCAATTGGATGCCTGCTTTGAGAAAGTCCACGAGTTTTCGCAAGAAACACAGAGCATGTGAAATTAGTCAGGGTAAGTTGATGACATGATTGCTGCTGAAATGAAGCATTTCAGAGTTGTGAAAGGCTGGATGATGTACAACAGACATTGCAGGACGTTCGGAGTTCCAACCGCACTTTCCCCATTAACCTTTGTTTCCCCCTCTGTGGAGAGGCCACTTTTTCGGTATCTTCAAATGCCCCCCCTCTCAGAGGTGGATAGTTGCACTACTGTCAGATCGCGAAATATCGTCAGTTCTACATTATAAATATTCGCTTTTTCGAGACAGTTTATGCGGAACAGGCATCAGCTACTAGCAAAAGTGTGATCGGATGCCAAAAACTGGTTTCTATTGGGACTCATCAGGTTGACTCCGAATGATTGGTTGTCGAACTGTTTAGATAGCGCTGGCCAGTTTGCTCAGCTGGTTCCTACCACTAGCGAGGAGGCAGTCCCATAGTTCCCTCTTAGCGCTGGCCAGTTTGCTCAGCTGGTTCCCTCTTGTTGATCTTGTAACCTGAGGAGTTTTGGTTTCGATTTTTTTCATCTCGGCTCCCAGCAAGTTCTGTTCTCTCGACCCTAGTCTGATGTCAAACTGCATGGCCTGAGCGGCTCTCTCATTGCCAACCAGGGTACCCACCTCCAAGTAACAAAATCAACCTTCCGGAAACAGGACGAGTTTGGTACTTGACTTGCACACTTTTTGTCGCCGTTCGGAGAGAAGTCATTGGTTGATTATGTCTTCCCGAATGGTGACGAAGCGTTCACAATTCAGCTGCCAGACTAGGCGAACAGGTCAACAGCCACTTAATCAACTACCAACAGGTCCGCGCAAGTTACGTTGCATCAGCCGTCCTCTGTATCGATGGCTTAGCTAGGTGCCTTTGCCACTCACTTGAATCCCATCGGTGTCGTGCTCACTGACTTTTTAACTTCCCATTCTACCCCCCCCCGCTCCACTGTTAGTCAATCTGCAAGCCAAAATCGGAAGTCTCGCACACCTTATCTTCTCCGCAGTCCTTCCCATCCTCCACGCCACACCTGTCGCGCTTGGTTAGGCTTCGTTTGCACCATTCAACTCGAGTATCGCACCAGTTTCCTACCAAACCAGTCACTACGGCAGATGTGCCCATTGTCTACCGTTCCCCCATCGCCCTCAGTTCGAATCCATTTGGCCCCACTCCAGAAACCAGATGCCTTTCAGGCAAGCGGTACGTACCCTAATTCTCGTATTGTTCTGATTTCTGGTTGGTCAGTCTGTTCTAGTTGCCCGCGGGATGTGTAGAAATTGATTTCACATCACTCACGTTTGAGCAGCTCTACTCCTGTCCGGCGCAAGTATTTTGTTGAGTCCACACTGGAGGGATAACTGTGATGTGACTAGTTCGCCTAACGACGATCCAGGAACTGTCTGGATTTTGCGGAATGACGGACCGATTGTCAAGATTTACCAGTCATGTAACAGCGCCACGGACGATTGAAACCTGCTAGACACCAGTGTCGCCGCAGTCAGTGGCAACATCTTCGGCTCGCACCTCAAAAGTCCAAGTTTCCAATCTCGACGTATCCAAGGCTATGCACTGTTGATAAGTTCTAACAAGAGCGAAACTCTAGTTCAACCATTCTCAAGTTCACCAGGACTGTTCAATGGCCTAAATGCGGCTTTTTCTCATCTATCTACGTTAGTATTTGTAACGCCTGGTCTTCACCATGCCAGTCAGTTCGCGCTGTGGCCTGACGGAATCGAGAACCAACCCCTCCCCATCCGAATAAAAGGGAAATTAAACCAACTACTCTTTGCTACCATACGTAAAGGTAAAATTGCCATAAATACTCATGGTAACCATGTAAAACATGAGTGACGCTCACGGAAGGTCGTCCGACTTTGTCGTTTGGCCTTGCCGATCTGACCAGTGCTTTGTATGTTTTTTAGTGTAATATAATCCCATCCAATAGATTAGGGTACTTGTTAGTCAGGACAGAGGAATGCTCACTATTCTGCGCTATCTTCAAGCGTGTTAATTTGTGGCACCCCTCTTGCCAGCTAATGTCAGTATTATCCCATTTCCCCAAACGTGTCGGTGACGTCGGTTAGTGTTTACAGATCTCTGTCTTCCGATCAGCTGTTGTGTAGCTGGATTCAGATGATTTGCTTGCCTTACTTGGTAATGGGAAACAGATTGCAAATTAAGCTGTTCTATCACCTTCCATATGTGTTGGTTGCTTCATTCTCCTATCACATGCGTACGTACAGTTCCTTGTCTTGTAGTCTGTGGTCTTTACGTGCAATTTCCCCTCTCAACTTTTCACAGCTTGGCAGACATACCTGTCGTGGCAGAACTCTGTAACTGCTCCACGCTTCCCGTCAGCATCTCCTTGGAACCGTGGGATGGTGACCGAAGGTGAGTACCTTTGTGACATACCTTGTTAGGCTATGTTCGATTTGTTGATGGGGTGAGTGCTCTGCTACGCACGCAGTGCTCAAAACATTCAGCACCGTAATTTGCGGAAGCTTGATTCACATTCGTGGTCAGTCCCCTCAGAGTGGTGGTGCCCCTGGAAACGTCTGACTTAGCCGTAAGGTATGTGCGGGAAAAGTCTGGTTGCTCTTTGTTCGACTTATGGTCTCTCCGTAACTTTCCCCGGAGGCTCTTCACAATTTACGATGAATGACATTTGTCGATGGCGTTTGAGCTGATGTCCGGTTTTCTGTCTGATAGTTTCACGACAGTGTGTCAAGCGTTGTTCATACTGACTGTGAGGACGGCCACTAACACTAACCATGCATATTTCTTGGCTAACGTTCCACGGGAACACCTTCCAGAACACACCACGTAGCCTATTCCAGTTTCAAACCCACCCACATGGGGAGAGAACCCCAACCTGTCGACCGATCTGTTCACTGGATATTTCTTCTGGAAACATCCTTAGACTGCTTCGCATACTTTCAAAATCGATTCTCACTTCAACCAATGCATCCACATAGATGATTCAAACACCGCAATTGCTTCGGAATTTCTGATGACAGTTTTGCCAGTAGCTTGACCTCGTTTACGACATTCCGTGCTTCACCCCTCGTATGTTTCGCAACGCTGGGTTGTATTCTAGCACTTGTCAGGGTTTATGCTCCGGCAATTTTAGTTGATCACGTGACAATGCATTGCCTTGTTATCTTGCCAACAGGGATGTCTTTGTGTGCCCTGGCGGCTTTTCGAAAGCTCTCGAGGAAAATGACTAAGTCATGATACCTGACTTGATAACGACCACGGATATGCTCTGTGCAGTTCATTGATCCGACACGTGGACAAATGCACTCTCACTGTGAGTGTAACGAGAGCGTTTTGGACTGTAGGCGGCCTATATAGCATTGGTGTGTGTGTGTGTGTGTGCGTACGTGCGTGTTTGTACGCGTCTTGTTCGATCACATCGATTCAGCCACACGTTCCGCTACCGCGCCACATCACCTCTGTTGCTGTGATGTTTGGAGACTAGTCGTTAGTTCATCTGTGTTAGATTGTAGTCATTGTGTGTCTGTTCCCGCTGTTATAAGTAGTCTTTTTTGCCACATTCCTGAGCCTAGGGCGAGATGACTCAAGTGGTTGGAGCGCGAATTTACTGACCGGGAGGTTCGAGGTTCGAACCCGACCTCTACCTCTCGGCTTTCTCTGTCTATGGGTTGGACAACCTGGCTGTATCCCGCCCCTCATCCTTCTTTTGGGTGGTATGACAGCTAGGCACCGAAAGGGTGTTACCGCCGAACGACTTTTTTGACCCTGGTGTGAGGAAACTAGGTCTTTGGTTCCGACTCAACGTTCTAATCACGAGGGTTTTCTGGGAAGGGACCTGAGATGACCGGCTGATTTGGCCGTTTTTGCTTCGAAGATTGGGGAAGCGGGGTGTTTATGGGTGACCCCTGTCGTTTGGGTCAAGTCGATTCCTTCAAAATTTAGTCCGGTGGTGATGGTGATTAATACGGCCTGATTCACGGTCTCACGCCTTTCTAACTCGTCATTCACCAGTCGAAAACGGTATCTGATCACCACTGAACGAAGTCGCCGGATTCACACTTCTACAATATTCCGCACTAAGAATTCGTATTCATAGTCTGTCGGAACATGCCTTTTCGCGGTATGAGAGCACTTCTCTCCGCCCTCGCTGGAAACCTAGAACATACCGAAGGACGATGTGATGGTGGGCAGTTTATACAGCAGACGTTCTAGTTGGCTCCCGCCTTCAAAGATGTACTCAGATCCACACACACGCGGTTGCAATGTGCCATCAGCAGGTAGCAAACACAGCACAACTAAACGATTGACAATCGGTTCAAGGTCAGTAGGTGTTGCCAGCCTCGGTTTGCGGGGTATAAAATCACCCCCGTGTATCAATTTCGCAGTGTTACGATCCTTTCTTGAGTTTTCAAGTCTCTACCAAAGCAATGTCTCTCAGGATTGTTTTTAATCCGCCTCAACTAGTGTTCGTTTTCATTGATTGATTCAAAGATTGGAGAAAGTGTACGGTGCGCTTTCCGAAAGTTTCCCCACACAAGAGGTGGTTCTGGCAAGGATGTCCATTGTCTCCGTTCTTCTTCAACTTTGTCATCGATGAAATAGTGGGGTGAACGCTGGAAGGTGTCTTTAGAACCCCGGTGTTCAAATCATTGCTGATTAGAAGTTTATCTGTTTGGGGTACACAGATGACATCTTCCCTGTCTATGAAAGCGAATAAAGCGCCATACCCTCCCGCGGCAGGCACCTACAAAGTGCAAATCCGTGTTTCAGAACGTACAGTCTCCGAAAACGCTTTTTGTAATTCAAGGGGTTGTAGAGAATTTCACATACCACGGTAGTTGTATGAGTTCTATCGGATGAAGTCGGTTCACGAGTCTCAAAGACCCGAGTTGTGTTTTTGTGGCGCCAATCCGCGATCCCTCAGAAGCGTAACTTGTGTCAGATGGCGTCAACGGATTCGTAACGAGTTAATCAGAAAACGGGTGTTTGGTTGTGCAGCGAGTACCTCAATCATGGAAAACATTCAGCACCACCAACTACTCTGGTTCGACCATGTGCCACTGTCCTTCAAGACGAGTTTTTTCCTCCATACCTCCAGAATGCTGCAGATTGCAATGGGGTTATTCTGTGACTTGGCAGAAGGTTGTGAAGATTACAAAGTGTTTAGGTTTTGCCAGTGCGGTTCGCCTCGTCTAAGGTACGGTCCCTGTAGAGTGACCCCTGCGTTTGGGTCAAGTCGATTCCTTTTAGTCCGGTGATGATGGTGATTAATACGGCCTGATTCACGGTCTCACGCCTTTCTAACTCGTCATTCACCAGTCGAAAACGGTATCTGATCACCACTGAACGAAGTCGCCGGATTCACACTTCTACAATATCCCGCACTAAGAATTCGTATTCATAGTCTGTCGGAACATGCCTTTTCGCGGTATGAGAGCACTTCTCTCCGTCCTCGCTGGAAACCTAGAACATACCGAAGGACGATGTGATGGTGGGCAGTTTATACAGCAGACGTTCTAGTTGGCTCCCGCCTTCAAAGATGTACTCAGATCCACACACACGCGGTTGCAATGTGCCATCAGCAGGTAGCAAACACAGCACAACTAAACGATTGACAATCGGTTCAAGGTCAGTAGGTGTTGCCAGCCTCGGTTTGCGGGGTATAAAATCACCCCCGTGTATCAATTTCGCAGTGTTACGATCCTTTCTTGAGTTTTCAAGTCTCTACCAAAGCAATGTCTCTCAGGATTGTTTTTAATCCGCCTCAACTAGTGTTCATTTTCATTGATTGATTCAAAGATTGGAGAAAGTGTACGGTGCGCTTTCCGAAAGTTTTCCCACACAAGAGGTGGTTCTGGCAAGGATGTCCATTGTCTCCGTTCTTCTTCAACTTTGTCATCGATGAAATAGTGGGGTGAACGCTGGAAGGTGTCTTTAGAACCCCGGTGTTCAAATCATTGCTGATTAGAAGTTTATCTGTTTGGGGTACACAGATGACATCTTCCCTGTCTATGAAAGCGAATAAAGCGCCATACCCTCCCGCGGCAGGCACCTACAAAGTGCAAATCCGTGTTTCAGAACGTACAGTCTCCGAAAACGCTTTTTGTAATTCAAGGGGTTGTAGAGAATTTCACATACCACGGTAGTTGTATGAGTTCTATCGGATGAAGTCGGTTCACGAGTCTCAAAGACCCGAGTCGTGTTTTTGTGGCGCCAACCCCCGATCCCTCAGAAGCGTAACTTGTGTCAGATGGCGTCAACGGATTCGTAACGAGTTAATCAGAAAACGGGTGTTTGGTTGTGCAGCGAGTACCTCAATCATGGAAAACATTCAGCACCACCAACTACTCTGGTTCGACCATGTGCCACTGTCCTTCAAGACGAGTTTTTTCCTCCATACCTCCAGAATGCTGCAGATTGCAATGGGGTTATTCTGTGACTTGGCAGAAGGTTGTGAAGATTACAAAGTGTTTAGGTTTTGCCAGTGCGGTTCGCCTCGTCTAAGGTACGGTCCCTGTAGACTGTGTAAGCAATATCGGCCTGTCCGTATCAATGGTGATGGTGCTGTGGGCTTCTTTCCAGATTGTCTGACTGAGCGCTTCAATGCTTGTGATAAGCTAGCATGGGGTTCGCTCTTCTCTGTTCGTTCCACTTTAAGGCTTTGTCCGTATAGCACTGAAGCATCAGTGTCAACACTAATGTTGCAATACGGATTATAGTGGTGAGTTCAAAAGGCGAGTCCTTGGATCGTCACTCATTTAGTTTTCTTTTTCATTTTTGATGTCAAATGTGCATTTTGGCTTGCCCTCTTAGACAACAGTTTAAAAATGTTTTCCCCTTCCAGAAGCGATGCACCACTCATAATGTTGCTGAAAGCTCTTCGATAGCCCACGACCAGTTTCGCCCTTCTTGGGGCTTATCCTTGGCTTCCGTCAGCCATACGTTCTGCTCCTACGTACTAAGTGAAATATGAGGCAACCTGGTGCAGCACACTCAGTTGCCTAAGAACATCATAAACGAGTGATTCAGTTGGGTTCCAGGTGTTTATCCCGTCATAACTAAATAGCTATTCAAATGAATATATACGTCGATCTGTCCAATTTAGGTTCAAGTAGAACATCAAGTTGACAGAAACTCTTGGACTTCGCTTACCTGACGAGATCCAAGAAGGGCGAAACCTGTCGTGGGTTGTGGAATAGTTTTCAGCAACCTTATGAGTAGTATATTACGTCCATGAATAAGTAAAGTTATGTGGGGCAGTAGTATCTTGAACGCTCTGGCCAATCACCACACGAACGGATATATCGATACCAGGCATTCAAAATTCTAATTTTAATGGAAAGGCTCATATTGTAGAGTTGGACCAAATGGCTCAGGTATTCGGCTGTTAATGGACTTTGCATTGCTTGGTTGATGGTCCCATTGCAGGTCGGTTGAACAATTGATCCTGACAAGCTGGATGGAATCAGTTTGTTCAGGCTGTCCTGAAGAGTCCTGGAAGACTCCTCTAAGGGTGGCGTAACTTGTTCTCTTACCGAACCTAATTGTGGAGTAAATTGTGACTGTTGATCAGAAAACGGGCAGGGTAGCCTGAAAGGCGCCAGTTGTCGTTTCTGACTGCTTTTGGCATCCTTTCGTGATATCACGATGAACAGTTGCGATATTTAAGATGGACTCAACCCCTATGGGTATAACTTGGAGCACTTTATGCGTCCACACTGTACATCTCGTCTCAAGTTGATGCGATTCCACGAGCATATCTCTAACCCTGTATAGACGTGGCACGCCCGCTAGCTTTCTTCAGATGAACAGTAGTCACTAAATGAGTGATTTGTTGGCCAGTCTAATCAATATGAATCTTTACCACTCATTGGTTTCCCCATTATAAGGTGAAGCACTAGGCTAACACTGCACGAATCTGTGGCTTTTCGCAGCGTCCGCATTGCAAACTTGTTTCTTTCAGTTGCTCACCTCAATCCCAATTTTCTCCATTTTGCTTTCGTTTTGACTCAGATATGATGGCCGTGGTCAATTGTCAGAAGTGTCCGAGGAAGGCGAGTTTCAGCTTCCTTCGTTTCTCCGCCGGCACACGGATGTTTCCTCCATTCCTTGTGTGCAATGGAGCGGTTTGACTTTGCAGCGTCTGACTCTATCCTCAGGAGAATCGCGTTCGCTGCACCTCCAGGCGCGTGTCCCTCGCCCAGGTATATATTATCTCGGTAATCTCAGCCTTAAAGCTGCTCAACGGTCTGACCAATCCGAGGAACCAGCAGAATTCGTTCCCCAAAACACTATTTCCCCGTCGTTTGTGATTGTCGATTCGGCGACTACGTTTGCCTCTCCCAACGAGCAAGCCTAGCGGAAGGTAAGAGACCTCCACTCCGGCCTCTGCTGTTCATATACTACCACATCGAACCAGATTTCTGCTGAGAACTTTGTTTTTTACCCTCCCCCCTCCGTCTCAGTAAAATGTGACTGATACCGACAATACTGGACACCGAAATTTTCACGACCCTTTCTTTTCGCTGCAGGTGTCTGGGCTCTTCTTTCTCTCCATTCCTATCGGTGATATGCGATCAGTTGTGATTCCCTGTATGAAGTTTACGATCCGCCCCTCCCCATCTGTCTCACGTACCGTTTCTATAACTCTTGTCAATCTTTTATTTTGATCTCGTGTTTTTCTCTCTCAACTTTCCCGTTTTTTGTCACAAAGTAAAGCGTATAAATAGCTAATGCTTGTTCTTCACGGGCTCTGTGAGCAAAGGGAGCTTTCCTTTTGTTATGTATTACTGTCGGCAAGGTACAGAAACCTTTGCAAAATGCAATCAACATCTGAATCGAACAACTTACTATCTGAAGGAAACTACTCACAAGGTTGCTGAAAACTGTTCGATAGCCCACGACCGGTTTCGCCCTTCTGGTTCTAACAGAGTCCAGCCGGTGAATAAACGTTTTCTAACGGCGTCGAGCAAAGTTTTCGCAGGCTAAGTTGTTCACAAACCGAATAGGCCTACTTGGAATGCCTTTCTTTAGGTCTGTGAGGTGACTTTCATTCTAGAATTGACTTGTAGGTGATTGTATTTTAAGTTAGAATCTGAGTATGAGTTCCTCAAGGACACTGTTTTATTATACTCAAAAAGTTTCTTATTTGAGTCATTGACAAATCGATGGTGCTTGCATTGAGAAGGAACAGAAACCTCAGAACCGACGAGGAATCACAGTGTAGTGGTTCCCAGAATCCACCGCGATAAAAAGAAGTATCACTGACACAGATCACCATCCAGTCGACTGTCATAAGCACTGAGCAGATTCGCATTGTTTGGCTTGGATTGCACTCACATCGCAACGCCACCATGGTAACGAAGCTGAAAATGGAACGGGCTATGACACAACCACCGGTGGCCTGTGAGGTATCGTCATCACCCGAGGGTTCCCCCTTGATCGGCATCATCATTATTGTCAGCCCTAATAACCGCGTACTCGTACAGTGACTGTAGCTGCCGCAGTTTCGTTCACCGATGACTTGGTGGGGGGTAAGTAGCTGTGCATTGGAGGCGGGAGCTGATAAATTGGTGCGTAAATACGACCCTGCCAGTGGACTTTTAAGTGAGGGGATTGGGGAGGGATCTCTGCAGTAGCTTGGATGCACGAGTGCCATTGAGAGCGCAACTGAGCCATATTTGGCAATGTCTCTAGCCATTGATATGGCCCGTCTCGGGGTCCCCATCCAGGAGGACGGCAGTGACCAGCGCAGCTGAGTTTGCTGGTAATGGCTTTCATACTTCGCTCGCAAGTCATTGTTTGACCGCCTCTGACTCTCTTCCACTCTTCATGTGGTTGTGCGAAAATAGCCCTTTGAGGAAGTCGGTCGACTGGCATACGCAGCACGTGGCCAAGCCAGCGCAACCTATGCAGTGTGATCAGTTCATCTATCGAGAGTAAGTTATTTCTCCCGAATACCATTCGACGTACTTCAGAATTGCTTGATCGGCACCGTCTCCTGAAGACCGACTTTTAATTCTCCAAGGAATTCCCATCGAACTGAGCTGGAAAACTTTCACCCTACCGTATAAAAACCACTTTCACGCAGACGAAAGGTGAACGCCTTGGTTTTGTGGTCTCATTGGTGTTCAATACGCAGAGCCATTTCTCAAATGTGTCCTTAACTCCAAATTACTTGCTCTATAGGACTGAATTTTCAGGCCAGTTGAGTCATCTTTTGGTCAATACCCATTGACTGTATCCGCACTTCTGTCAGCACGCGCCCAGACATAGAAAAAGTACATGTGCAGAGAGTGACGAATCCCCAAGGTCACCATCGGTTCGACACGTACGGAAAGCAGGTGCGCTGGTGAAGCCCACCAAACAAGGCTTAGCAACACACGACCAGCGGAGTGGGCCTGAAAGTGTTCACGACCGCCATTTGCTGTACGGGACGAACGAGTGGACGACCATATTTGGCCGTTTAGTCATCCTATATATTTACGCAGAAGCTCTGAATGTTTTGTCCTGACAATACAGCCGTGTCCCGAGTTCTCTGTCTTCTCCCTATCGCGTAGTCTGGCAGGCTCAGTGCGGGCGTAACCAATAGATGGCCACCCACAATACAACTTCCTTGGATGAATGGCTTCTACAATTTCGAATTTCATCCCATTCTGGAGGCGCTTATAGAGGCTCACCTGTAACTCGACGATTTGTCTCTCCGGACTTGACACTTCATGATCCCTCTTGTGGTAAATAGAAACTCATATACGTCGTAAACAAGAAATTCAGTTGGGTTCCTGGTGAAAACCAAACTAAATGTATTTGCCATATACGTCATATTGTCACACATTCTGTGTGTCAGGTCAAACTCCTCGAATGCCATCACGGTTGCACCAAGATTTGTTCGACAAAGTTAGACGGACAGGACCTTAAAATTGCGTGTCGCAGAGAGCGAGGTGAAAGAGCATAGATGGGTTGTCGGATCGCAACTGTAAGCCACAAGGCATCGTACGGAGGTGGTTCAGTAAAGAACGCAGTAGGTGCGATCCAGCAAACTTGCCACCGGAACACACAAACCCAAACTCGACCTACCAATCGCTCGTTTCAATTTAAGAAGACGAAGAAGGATATCCATCCGATCAGGGTAATGTCCAAACACATGTCCACGAAAGAATAACATTAGGACAGAGTTTGCCGAGGAGTCGTACTCCATACGCACTCGATCAATAAACACAGCGACATCGGCCCAGTCTGTCAGTAGCTAAGAGCAACACAATTACACTTTTGCAGGACCCTGCACTATCTGGGAATTCGAACGATCAGAAGGGCTAATGAGAGAAAGCTACCAAAATTAGCAGGTTATCCACTCAACCAGTTAGATGGCAGGAGACTGGAACACGAAGCAAGGAGTAAATCGCGCAATCACAAATATGGGGGCATAGGAACGTACCCGACGAGGTAAAAGAGATGAGAACACAACGCCTATGAGACTTCAAGCTGATCAAACAAAGAACGCGAATGCTACATCGGTGACAACCAATTAATTTGGATCTACCGGATACTGTTTAAAAACTAGATAAGCACAGGTGGAAAAGGAGCATTTGCCCAGTCAACCCCATACTGACGATGTCACCTAGATGAAATATCTGCATTGCAACTGCTAAGCTTGGCGAACTGGCCAAGAACCTTGTTTTACCGTCTTACTCACCCAACCACACGTTGATCCCGTCTCCAGGATCCGTGACGAAACGTAAACGGTCAATGAATCAGCAGCCACTGGTGAGGCTCACACAATAAGCAAAATAAACACATCGGTATGCGCTGTCAAAGAATTCCCAGCAACTTTTGAGTAGTATATTATGTCCACCTCAGTTCAACTTAAAATCGCAGTGACGTCAAAGGTTCCGTCTCAGCTTAATAGGATAATGGTTCAGAAAGCAAGATGACTATGATTAACTCTTCGTATAGACAACTGTCTGTTGTTTTTTACGTTCTGTGCTACTTACTTCCGGTCTCAGTTTAACTGGTCTGAATACGTTTATTCGCCGGTACAGATGAGATATCTGAAGCCGTTTGCAACACAGACAATGAAAGTTATCTCTGGGGGGATCGGGACAACTGTTTGATCGATGAGTGTAAGCAACACCGTATTTATATAGACATGATACACTACTCATAAGGTAGTTGAAAACTCTTCGATGGCCCAACATCACAAACGAGAGGTTCAGCTTTGCGTGCCAGGTGATTCTCCCGTCAAAACCAAGTCAGCACGTAAATGAGCGTATTTTGTTAACACCGTACTTCCCTTCTTGCACCAAACGAAACGATTGGACTGTCAGGGACAAAACAACACCCTAAATCAATAGAAACTGTAGGAAAATTTGACCGCAACGGGTCGGACTTGGGTGTATTCACTACAACCCTTTGAAAAAGGGTAAATGGTGCAAGAATCTGCCTGTACTGTTGAATCGGAAACGTATTTGTTGTGTACAATGTGGAAACAGGAGTGGCCGTACCAGTTTAACAGTGGGATAAACGGAATAAACTTGACCTGATCTGGATCAAGTTCGTAAGCGTGGCACGTGATGCAGGTGGGAAACAAAATGGTTGGGAAATTGTAGTGTTCACTCGTACACACCTTTGTGGCCTATTTTTCCTAAACATCTTAGATTACTCCGACAGTATGTTGGCACTGATAATAATGATGATGATTTATTCAAATTGTTCTGCAACTTAGCCGGATCGTATAAAAACAGGATGATTGGTAAAGTTACGTGTACTTTCAGGCAGATATCTACGTGGGATAGCTAAGTGCACTGCAAGACCCGTTCTGAAGAATTTTGCACAAAGACTGCCAGCTAAAAGCTTAGCGTTTGCTGGCAGCTCTTTCAGGTAGTTACCATGCCACCCGAAAGAAACATCAGGGCTCAGATAATAGCAGTTTGCCCGAGCATAGACAGGAGCAGCTGAGATTCCGGAGTTGGGTTCGAACCTTCCGGCCGGCAATTACGCACCCTAATCTCTGAGGGATCTTGAGCTCAGCTGCTGATAACTTAGTGTAATCCGATCATTGCCAACACAGTAGCAGTAAATTTCAGACTATATATATATATCAGAAGGGCATTTTGTGTATAGGTACCGGGCAAATGTTCGCCCAACTATGTAGCATGTTATCACTCATGCAAAGTCACGTCAAATGTCACTGAGTCCAAAGAAAAAACCGTTGACTGAGTGATTTTCCGATTGCATTGAGTGTAAAGCCCATATTTTTGGGATAGCATGACCAATCACTAAATCTGCTGTTCAGTGGGAAGTGGAAGATCCTTTATACATTGTGGTGACTCGTCTTTGGGTAGTTCAGAGAGCAATTTCCGTTTATTCATCCTTTCGCTCAGTATGCCATTTCTTTTGTTTGTCAAGTGAGATCTGTAATGTGTCTACACAACCGTTCCATCAGTTTCCTGATATCGCGCCAAAGTGAGATAAAATCACGATGTGTTTTCATGGCTATACCTACCTGCATAGAACATCATTCAGTGTAAACGCTGAAGTTAACAACCATTTTGTCGTTGTACGGGAGTGTATTCCTATTAAATACTCTCATTTCTGAAACATAAGTGCGGTGCGATTTTGATATGGTTGACGACTAATTTGTTTTTGATGGAAACGTGAGAGGATTTTGTAAGNTTCTGCAACTTAGCCGGATCGTATAAAAACAGGATGATTGGTAAAGTTACGT